TGAAATATTTACTGCTGAACCATTCAGCAAGTAAACTTGAAGGAATACAAACATAAAAGCAATCGCCCCGAAAACACGTCATCCTCCACTCAAGCCGACACGTGGCTACACGTATTTCCCCGCCCTTCTGATAAAATTCATTTCATCACTAACTAGAGCAAGTGATGGAACACTAATACACTTGCCTGCGTCATGGTTGGCAATAAAAAAAGCTTCGTCAATCTCCCGAGCATACCTATTTTTATGTCGGGCTAAAATCTTAATTTCATTAAACACTGGAGAGCACGCACATCTGTCACAGTGGACCGCTAGGTTGCCAGACGGGGAGGAGCGTAAGGACAGAGAATGTTCTCTCGCCCGGTCGTTAACACATCTCCCCGTCTGCCCAATGTACACTTTTCCACAGGACAATGGAATAAGGTACACCACCCCACACGCGCAGGCGACAAATGGGTTGCGGTGCTTTACTTGACACTGTGTACCCACGCGGCCGCCTCGATTCACGGCTGCACACAGCCGCCCCAACTTAGCTGGAGCCGAAAACACAACTGGCACGTTGTACCTACTGGCAACCTTCTTGACACCATGGGACACCTTGTGCATATACGGCAAGACCACAGGTCTTACCGTTGGTTTTTGTCTTGCCTCAGTACTAGCAGGGCCTCTAAACACCTTAACCAAGGATTCCACGACGCCCATCACAACTCCCAAAGGGAACCCGGCATTTGACAACCTCGTGACTTGCAACAAAAAACTATCACCACACCTATGGTGGCATGACTTAAACAAGGAGGTACGGAGACTGGACAGTGCAATGGCTCTCTTCACTGTCTTAGAGTGCGCGGATTCATAAACTAAAAGCCCCTTTTTAGACCTAGGCTCATAGGCCCAACACAAATGCGAGGGCTCACATCGAAGATTGAAATCTAAAAATTGTAGGGCACCCTCAGAAGTGGTCTCAGCCTTAAAGTTTAGTCCGGGACTAAACTTTAAGGCTGAGACCACTTCTGAGGGTGCCCTACAATTTTTAGATATCAATCTTCGATGTGAGCCCTCGCATTTGTGTTGGGCCTATGAGCCTAGGTCTAAAAAGGGGCTTTTAGTTTATGAATCCGCGCACTCTAAGACAGTGAAGAGAGCCATTGCACTGTCCAGTCTCCGTACCTCCTTGTTTAAGTCATGCCACCATAGGTGTGGTGATAGTTTTTTGTTGCAAGTCACGAGGTTGTCAAATGCCGGGTTCCCTTTGGGAGTTGTGATGGGCGTCGTGGAATCCTTGGTTAAGGTGTTTAGAGGCCCTGCTAGTACTGAGGCAAGACAAAAACCAACGGTAAGACCTGTGGTCTTGCCGTATATGCACAAGGTGTCCCATGGTGTCAAGAAGGTTGCCAGTAGGTACAACGTGCCAGTTGTGTTTTCGGCTCCAGCTAAGTTGGGGCGGCTGTGTGCAGCCGTGAATCGAGGCGGCCGCGTGGGTACACAGTGTCAAGTAAAGCACCGCAACCCATTTGTCGCCTGCGCGTGTGGGGTGGTGTACCTTATTCCATTGTCCTGTGGAAAAGTGTACATTGGGCAGACGGGGAGATGTGTTAACGACCGGGCGAGAGAACATTCTCTGTCCTTACGCTCCTCCCCGTCTGGCAACCTAGCGGTCCACTGTGACAGATGTGCGTGCTCTCCAGTGTTTAATGAAATTAAGATTTTAGCCCGACATAAAAATAAGTATGCTCGGGAGATTGACGAAGCTTTTTTTATTGCCAACCATGACGCAGGCAAGTGTATTAGTGTTCCATCACTTGCTCTAGTTAGTGATGAAATGAATTTTATCAGAAGGGCGGGGAAATACGTGTAGCCACGTGTCGGCTTGAGTGGAGGATGACGTGTTTTCGGGGCGATTGCTTTTATGTTTGTATTCCTTCAAGTTTACTGGCTGAATGGTTCAGCAGTAAATATTTCAGTTGTAAGTCAGCGCTGTGTCTGTGTGGTTTCTTTTACTGGTCCTTCGTCTTTCTGCGCTGTTTTAACCCATTCAATATGACCATCAACCAACTCGCCCAACTTTCCACCTTGTTCCACCTCAGGTCTTGGAAAGAGATCCGAAAGACTGCGTTATGCCACATGTTGTATCTACCGGGGCAGGGGCGAAAAGTAGAAATTAATAAATTTATCAGAAGTATCCAGCCGTCCGCGCCGCGCTGAGCGAGGCTGACCACGCCTGGTTGAACTAGGAGAGTCGCCGTCGAATTGAGGGCTAAAGTCGCGGTAGACCCGGAGCGCCACACATCTGTCTCGTAAAACGTAGAACGAGCGTCTCCGCCGTCCCCGCGACGATGGAAGCCGCGGCAGCGGAAGACGGGACGCCACGGGACACCGGCGGCGGTTGCGGGGTTGCAGCGGCGAGAGGCGCTCCTCCGGTCTTGGTAGCACGGTGATGTTGGAAAGAAAGGTACGATCGGTCCTTCAAAGCTGGCGGTGTTCGCAGCGTCACCCGTGTAGCCATGAGGCGAGCACAGCCGACGATTTACGAGAGCATGGATGGCACGGCGAAATCCGATATCGCCATGCCGAAGACGGAGCCAACGTTGGCCGAGTGCGAGCCACGGACAACGGTGCGAGTTCGCCGCTGTCGACCGGTGATGTGGTATCCTCGGCTTGGTGTCACGATCGGTTTGTTGCCGTGCACGTTGGCTTTGCTATGCGGTACGGATGTCGAATACTTGTGATGCACATTATTCGAGACAGTCACCCAAAAACGTTGCCGTGAAAAGTTGACCGAGGAATTCATGTCAGCTCAACGTCAGTCCAGGTTCCTTCTCGACATGTATGGTATATGTAACGATACCGGAGGTAGATGATAGGCCTTTTTTTGAAAGATGACGGTCACCTTTCTACATGTATGATTTGCTGAAACCGGTGGTCCTGTTGTATAAGCGTTTTGATGGAAAGACGGCGGTCGCTGTGTCATCGGACGCAAAATCATATCAGCCACATCGTATCATGCGGCAAGCAAACTGGATGCCAGTAAAGTCAGACGCGGAGCCATGGCGGTACCGGTATCTCCAGTTATGCAGAACGCCCAACCAAACTAGCTGCACGCATAATGACAAGAAATTATGGTGGTATCATACCAGAACTACACAAGCCGCAGGTATGTTTCTTCTACGTTTTTGCAACACTAAGTTTCTACATTCAGCCTTACGCGATCGTATGAGATGAAAAAAGGAGACATACTCCACGGTCGCCCAGCAAACGCGCGAAGATTTGGCTCCACGCTTTTCTTTCCTTTTCTTTCTTCCTGATGTCCCAATAAGAAACCAGTTGTTAGTCAGCGCTTGTCTTCGTTTCGATTCATCTGTTTGTCCTTGTTCCAGTCGCCCTCTTTTTCAACATGAACTCTTACCAACTTGCCCAGTTATCTGTTCTAATGCGGTGCCTCCAATAAAAAAAAGTACCGAAACAACGATATAAAATACCAACTCTTACGTCTGCGAAGAAATGCAGTGCTTGTTTTTGCCGCTATGGGCCTTACATGGCAGGGGAGCTCATGGAACGCTGACTGATTTATGCGAACAGCGCAGTTCTATTGGTCCGGTTATTGTATCTGTCTTATTATCTCTGTCTTATATCTACCTTTGTGTCTTATATTTCATAAAAGTAAAACGTTCATTTTAAGCAAAAAGAAAGCGACGCATTTCAAATTAAAACAGAGAATGGTTAAAAAAAATAACCGAGCTTGGAAGGAGGTGTACAGTAGTCCGAAGTTATACTGCTGCCTTCAGTTTGCAGGGCGCAACAGCCTGTGCTTTCCCAGAGCATAGACAGAAACCTACTGAAAATATAATAATTTTTGAGGCGTGAGTAACTTAAAGGTAATTCGATGACTCCTTGTTTTACGTCGACAAGTGTTTGCGCTCTATTTAAATTCATAGCTTGCACGTGTCGCCCTTCTTGGGTACTGCCGGTTATCTCTACTTACTGGTTTCTTCGAAATACAACCAGTGCGCTGTGAAACTAACAGGGCAAAGGAAACGCTCGCCGCGCGTAAAATACTGGCATGGCCGAGAATGACTTCCCATGCAAGTTATGTAGTCTTGGAAGCCATGGACTCTTGCGTGAAACAAGGCTGCAGATGTGTGGCATAGTTATAGCTTTTCGCAGCACCGCTGGCTTTGAACTCGGCCATAACGACTCTATGCATAACTCGGCATTTGTTCGCTCGTGTATGCCACGTTTTACTGAAATGCGAAGTAGGCGCAGAGTGAAACTGCCAACGCTAGAAATCGCCGACTACGTCTCGCTCCCGATTCAGTCTCCATCAAGCCGATTAATTGGGAATGAGCATGTACAATTATAAAAGTTTCCTTGGGAATATAAAAGCATAAGACGAGTCGGAAACGCGTTTAGAAGCTGGTTTGTGGGTATAAATGACGGGAAGGGATTGATGGTGGTTAATTAGCACGGCAATAATACATTCGTTTATTTTTACTTTACAGCTATCCTGCAAAACAAAGTTATATTTTACTGTGGCTGATAAGACAGCATTCTGCATTGACACGCCTTACACACATCGTGCGCGGCAACACGCCTCAATGTAGAACCATCAGGCTCGCCTGGGGACGGGCCAGAGAGAAGAACAAATGAGCTCATTGAGAAAAATATAGGTTTTGTATCAAAACAGCTGTTTCGCTTATTTTAGTAAACACAGCAATATCAGGTGATCGGAAATACATAAAGGCGGTACTTACTTCCATTGCAAACTACGACAACGCCTAACGTTCAGCTTCTTATCAGCTAATGTGTAATATAATTGTAAAGAAAATTCAAGTTCTACGAAAATTCTACCATTCCGGCTTTTTGAAAAGAAACAAATGTGGTCCGTTTAGATTCTTTTAACTAATATAAAATGAACTTCATTTCCATAATTAAATATCCAGTCCTACAGAAAGGTTTTTGGTATCTCAAGAACAAGGATCTGACCATAGACACAATTGGCACCACCATCCTGCACAGCAAGAGAGAGTTGCATTTATTGTTGGCCAAATTAACTGGGGCAGTTGAAAGGGGATGATTTCGTGAAGAAGGCTGTCTAGTACACGACGGTGCCGACCGGGCGGTGCACGAAGTGTCCACCTCTGCTCTGGTGTACGGAACTGTGGGAGCCGGTCACCACTGGAGCGTGATGAACTTCGGCCTGGTGGTAGGTTCTGCAGTTGGCGAGAAAAACATTGGCGAGACTAAGCACATAACGACATAGTGCGTCATTATACAAGAAAGTCAAAATGCATAAGAAGCTGTGCAATATCACTAGGATACAAACCGCGCTTTTTTAAATGATAATGTCACATAATCTGCCTCCAGGACAAAACTTATATCTCTTTCTCCTCCTGAATTCTGATGACAGCGATTCTCACCCGAAGAAAGGGTCGTGCTTCGTGACGGTGGTCTTGGGTTGGACGACCTTCTGCTGGCTGATGGTGTATCCGTGTGCGTGGGGTGGCACGTAGGCCACCTCGCTGTGGTGTTCTACCACTGGGTGACGCACCACCGTGGTGGCCACGGGGACGTGGACGGCGGCAGCGTGGTAGACATGTGGCGCCACGTAGCCGGCCTGGCAGCAGGTGGCAAGCAAGACGAGGCAGGGCACGAGGGCGGTCTGGAAGGAGAGGAAAAAGGAAGTGGTAAATAAAAAAAAAAAGACGAATAGCAAATCGCTGGCCAATTGAGTTGCGTGCGTGAAACGTTCTAGCATCACGTGATATGCTGCAACGTGAAATCAATTTCCATGCTAAATTTGGCGGGGAAAATGAATTGATGTGTAGGTAACAAAGCAATAATTTTATCGTTAAATACAGCGAGGATATTGACGTCATGTGATCTTGTGTCACTTGACCTATAAACCTATTCAACTTTCCCGCTAAATTTAGCGGAGAAATTGAATCACTGTTTAGGCCCGCGACGTCTCATAACGCAACACTGCGCCCACAGCATTATGGGAGGCCACAGGCTACGGCTTCATGAAATGCGGCTTCACAAAATCCGGAGCAACTAGCGGTACAATGCTTAACTATAAAAGCTGGGAGCTGGCAACGACTTTGCATGTATGTACATACATAGGGGTGTCACTGTACGCCGTTGAATTGTCGTTTCGGGCTTTTACCACGGAACATCGAAACCGTGTCTTCGACGGTAGAATAAAGTACAGTGTTTGAGAAAATAAGATATTATTCATATGTCGGAGGAAACAGGAAATCCTGAAATACGTTCCAAGACCGTGAACTATTGAGCTTAATAATGACAGTAACGTATTTCTGTTAACATTTTTTTTATGAGTAAGCGTATCAATCAGCGACATTTTTTGCTATCCTGTATATTTGGATTGTTCTCTGTGTACCTGTAGCCTTCGATTATATTCTTATATTCAGCTTTTTTGTCATTTACGGAAAATGTAAAGACAGAGTGCGGGATTGCCAGCCTTTTGCACTAAGACCGTCCTTGGGTAATGTTTAAATGAGAGTGAATAGGAAAAAAAAGTGACGTCTCTGTCTACCTTAAAAAATGTTTTCTTATGTGGACGGCAGAACTCAGCTCCTTAGGCAATAACAATTTATTAAAAAATACACTGTAATGTGACAATTCATAAAAAAAAATACGTTTGACCGTTCATAAAAAATATTAATGACTATGCGAGACATGCACTTTTATTTGAAACACAATGTAAACGTTTTGTTTTCTTCCACATGCAACTTGTTTGTGCATCTTGCGTTTCGGGGGTTGCCTACTTGTGAGCATATGTAATTTAGTATGCCCGAATACGTGTTTTTTCAGCTAAATTGTGCCAGTAGCTCTAAAAAGAAGGCTGGCTCATGCTACGCCTGTCGAACAAATGGAGTAATGTTCACCGCCCTATTAAGAAAGCCAATATAGTTTTTGCGATGTCTCAAGCTGGCTAGTGAACGCAAATTATTTAATCAAGGTTTTTTATATCAGTTTGCACCGAAACCCTCACATACACCAAATGTAGAGGGTGTTGAGAAATATTCCACTTTGTCGTCTAATTATTATGACTCCTCTATATGCCTATGTCTATTACATCTGTTCATTACGCGATAATAGTTATAAATATATCTATGAAGTTATATAATATTTGACTGGCACAATAGACATAATTATGTGCATTACGTATATCTGATTTTATTTATTTTATAAAGTAAGCGACAGAGGTTTAGCAATACCTCAAGTGACTAAGGGTTCAACAGCCAAATATGGCTAGAGCGTACTCAGGCGCTTATTTTTTATGTTAAATGTCACGCTCTAAGCTAAAAAAAGAAAACAATAAACACAGAAAGTCTTCCCTTAAAAAAAAAAACCGTTACGATGGGATGTTTGCCAACACTTTCTATATATTATGTGTTTGAGGGTTTGTTCACCAAAGTATTTATGAGGTTAACTACTAGTCGCTGTGAATTGGCCAGTTTGTGGCATATCGTACAAAAATATATTGACTTGCTCACTAGGACTGTAAACAGTACTGAGCTATCATTTTTATGTCTTTACGCCAGTTAGCGGGAAAAACATGCAGTGTGTACTCACGAAGGTGTTCATGATGTCTCTGGACGGAGTTGCTTTCAGTAACTCGTTGGAGTGTAGACTGTGCTTCGATCCGGACTAGCAAGGCTCTTTTATGGGCCACTTCGGGGAAACACTCGCACGTGCCGCCAGCAGAAGTGCTTCCAGACTGCAAGGGGCCACGCCCATGTACTGGGTGCAATACTGCAGTCACTGCGCTGGATGTTTATTCTGGTGTGGCCTTCGCATCGGTCAACAGCCGACTCGAAGCCTACCGGTAGCACTTTAATCCTTAATCCTTTGTCCTGCAGAATTTATCAAGATAATTCACAAATTTTATCAAAACTCGCGAGCGCTTAGATTATATTGTTATCACAAGCGGTTTCGTGTCTCCGTAAATTGTTTTCCTTTGAATTCGGGGTTTAATATTTCCCACTGATTCGGTTTTTTATGGTGATAAATTACGCTGTCAGACAAAGAAAGAGCGGTTCATCGAAGCTTATGTTCACAAAAACATGAAACGAAAATGGGTTTGCCCAACATCCCAGAAAACATCCACGTGACCTAAATATATTTTTTTGAAAAAATCGGGGTACACATTTGAAAAGGAATCGAGACCAAGAATGTCCTTCACAAGGTAAAAAACAACCTAGCGAACAGTTCAGTGAAGGGACATGTTCTGGGTCAATAAATTCAAATGTAAACAATTATTCTTCCCGTGAAGCATGTGCTTACTTTTCTTGTTCATTTTTGGAGGTTTACTAATTCAGAGTTTTTCGATTTTCTGAATTTTCATGTAACCGACCCGGGGTCAGTTTTTGGGGTTATTGGTACGTACTGAAAACACGAAACCGAGGTTATACTACAGTTTCGAGTTTTCAAATAAATCCGTAAAAAAAAAACCCGCTGGGACAATATTTGTTAATTCGCGTTTATCTGATAAACCACAATTTTCAACGCCAGAATTTAAGGACAAAAACAACAACAACCGGATCTCTACAACTAAGCTTGGTCAAAGTCTCGGAACCCCAGGTCACGGCCGTCATTTTCCACGATCAATATTTTCGAGGAAATTTATGGAGGGACAGAAAGCGGCACAGATTTGCCGGAATTTTGTGGTTTCCTGAAATATTAATTTATGCTTTAGTACACGACCAGTTTCATTATTTCGCACGTCTCAAGACGTTAACATCCCAAGACAGGAGAAGGGGAACCTCGGTCAATTTCGAAACTATCAAGATAGTGATAACCGAATTCGAAAAGCACCCATGAGCGGCATTAGTTTCAGAAATTGTAAAATATTTTCCGTGCAATTGCGATATAACCTTGATTGCAAGGGCGAAACCGAAACCTCGGCGAAGGCGGGCAATACTCTCCACCGAACGTCAGAAGGCGGGAAGGGGGGGGGGGGGGGGGGGGGGACCCCCACGTGGGCAACAAGCAAATACTTACACAACATGGAGGGATCATCACGTCCAGAGTCGTTTATAGAAAGATTTCGGTCAATGGGAGGAGCCGGCGGCAGCCGGGATGAAGCGGCAAAAGCTGCGCCGCTGCCAGCACCGCATATTTTTCCCGCGACGACGCTGTGAAGTAAAAATGTCTGAGTTAACCTTGAAGGTGTCACGTACCGCGGCACACTTGGTTTTTGTTTCTGGATGAGGCTGGAAGACTATGAATGGTTAATTGTAAAAGATTGACGGAAATTGAGAGCTTCGAGGTGTTGAGCGCCTTTATTGAGCCAGAAAAGGTGACATTGAAGAAATGTTTCCTGACACGTGAGGCGAAGCTGCGAACGTCGGGTGCGCGTTAGGTGCTGGTGTCAAAATTCCCCATGGAGCCGTGTCCATGGTTTCCACCGTCCACCCGGTCGTTGCCGCGGCCGCAGCAGCGGCTGCGACTGCATCAAAAGGAAGATGGAGTTCATTCTGAATGTCGCCGAGACGACAACGTGACGTGGGTTGCCCTTTCAGTTGCGAAGTGTTGCAAACTTTAACTATAGAGTCCTGAAATGAAATACTTGAATACATCATTACCTAGAAAGTAATTTTAAGATGTAAGTTAAAATCATTGCTTCGTTAGGGGAATATTCGTGGTTAGTGGTTGGTCAGAAGGGCTGTCAATCAACGCACATAAGATAATTGAAAAAATTTCGGCCGAAGACAAGCCCATATTTTTGCCCTGTCCTTACCTATTATTGACCGAACGCTACATATACGGCTCTGATGACGTCAGCCCCGCTGCTTCAGCTACCCCTGCCAGCCAAGCCTCTGAGTTTCAGATCACATTACTCTGCACAGAGTGCGCTGCTCGCGCCACCTGTAGGCTTTTGCCCGAAAAATAAAATACGAAGAAAAAAACCGCTCTTCAGCTCAAGACGTCACCAAAACGGTAGTACAGCATTGGCTCGCCGCAAGTCACCCGCTGAATCAGCTTTTATTTTTTTTATTTTTGCTCGGAGAACCGAAAATTTTGTGGGACAATTTATTTCAACCAGTAGGTGGTATAAGGGTATAACATTAGACGTACGGTCGTACCAGATGATCCAAGAAAAAAACTGCATTGTTTTCTCACTACCGAGAATAAAGCGGAGTTTCCCTTGAAGTTTCGCACATTTGACGACCGATAACCTTAAAATGAAAATAACACAACAAAAATTCAATAGACGGAATAATACAACCCACATACACCAACACGAACAGGGCCAGATCTCATTCAAGCGTATAGTATAGACCGTGTTACTGAAAGAGGGCAAGAGAGAAGAGGGAAAGGGCTTCTGGCGCTTTCCTCTTTTCCTGAGTGGTTAGGAAAGAACAAATGACCCGGATAGACTCCTTGGACGCCTATGTTTCTGCAAGTTCGGCTCTTAGCTTCGCGGTTCCCTGTGTTTTATTTTATTTCCTGATATAATTAGAATTAGCGAAATCGATGACGATAGTCCCCTGGTAATCGGTACATCATTTTTCGGTACTAAGCCTCACGAATAGCAATCTAAATCGCATTATATTATTAGATGACATCTGTATCGTACACGGGATCCGACAAGGCAAGTGCGGCTGCAGCGTCTTTAAACTCCATTGCTTTCCAAAAGATAAAAAAAAAACCTCCGGAGGCAGTGGCTTCCGTCAGTAATCAAAACAATACTTTTTCCCAACGCTACCCTCTCGAGTGTGCTCAAAATCTTTCGTGAATAGAGCGCGCACCGAACTTACCGCTGTACCCTAGATGAACATCGGCTACGCATGCAAGGTGGACGCAAGGTTTCTCGTGAGAATCGATGTTTGAAGTTGTAAATTTTCGTTACTTTAATTTACCTAAAACTTATATCTTTATATCTTGACGTGGTAAAACTGACTTGATTTTAAGATGTACACGCTTAGTTGAAGGCTCATTTCCGCCGGCGGGTGTTGCTGGTAATTCTCGAAAAGTTAGATTTATCGGTTTTTCTTAATTGCGATCTCTATCGCAATAACCGAGAGCCGTGAACGTACGTTGGCCGTTACAACGCCGACTGGGTTTTCTTATTTTCCAAATTGGTACATAACGTAGCTGAAAAGAAAACTTCAATTTTTATCGCTGAAACATGTTCATGCATCGATATCAATCGTTTAATCCTCGATCGACTCGCTCCTACAAAGGGCGCATCTCGACTTCGAAGTTTTCAGTTCTAGACAAAGGATACGCTCGTCGTGTCCTTTGTGATAAGCATCTGGAACTAGGAGGGAGGTGTCTTTATCATTCCCTGCAATACTCTTATTTCGCACGTCTTTGTTTACATTAAATACAAGAAAGAATAAAACCTGAAGGGCGAGTCAAACAACTCATGTCTCCGTTAGTCAGGTTTTATTTCCTTGTATTCACCTTTATTACCAACCTGTTCAAATAAAGTGCATTGTTCACATTATATTTCTTATTGTGGACGTCTCAAGAAGCAAAATATATTCTCGGTATACTGCATCTAAAGCGACAAAAAACCAGAAGGAAAATTTAATCGTTGTTAACAGACACCATTTGAGTGCGCTTCTCCCATTTTTATCGGTGGCGCGTTTAGTGTCGCGTTCAATGCCGCTCTTCTCGGGATCGTCGTACTGACGCATGTCATAATGCGGGGCAAAAAATGTTTCAACTGAGTTGACAAACTTAATCCATGGCACACAAGAACACACGACACGCCCAAAGCCAGATACCCAGCACCTTGAAGCAGTAAACTAGCACACTCAACGCCGGAGCGGCGCCCGAAGGGCACTTTCGACGTTTCTAGCCACTCAGCATGGCCGCGGATCCTGAAGCTCGCTAGATGGCGCTACAGTATTCAAAATGGCACTGCCCAAGATAAAACAATCTATAAGAGCCTAAAGAACACCTCCTGATCACAAGGCCGTAGAGTGCTGGACTTTCTACGCTGTCTTTCGGAGGCCATGGCGCTGAAAACATAATACACGCGAATGCTGTGTCGCGGTAGGCCGGAACTCGTGTCTCAAAGACAGTCAAACGATGACCCTTTGTGCCTTCCGCTGGCCCACGTTGAGTGACGTCACAAACCCTGTACAACGATTTCGCTCTCTAGCAGGTGTTTATTGAATTCCTAATGAGGGAAGAATCTGAAAAAGAGAAAAATAACGATCTAGCGGCAACCGGCAAAACAAGGAAACCACTATTATCCACTACTGCAATTCCAGATCTCAAGGGATTTCCTCTATTTTTTTTTATTTATCCAGCTTAAACAAATAAATGCAAATTGAAACCTAAAAATTATTACGCAGCGCAGAAAGATTAAACTCCGTGAGAACATGGCGCTGTTGTGAAAACAAAATGTGAATGTTTTAGAAAACGACTTTAGCTGGATCAAAAGATACAATACCAAAACACAAGTTTGATATCAGCTGACGTTCTCCTAAGCCTTATATTTATCGAGCCAGGAATTACATTGTGGTTGCCTGTAGGATTTACTGTAGTGAAAAAAATGGTCAGCGAGAAAGACTGCATGGTTTTCTATATTTCTAACAAGTGTCTTTCACGAAGATATCTGCTATCGG